CAGCAGGATGCAGACCTCGTCTTCTTTTCAGGCCAGAGACGTGTTTGCGTGACAGATTCTGACTAGCTTAACATTCAGTCTCTCACACTATCAAAAAATAGTTATTCTGTGTTCAGGTAAATGGTTGAAATGACAGAGGGCAATAGCAGTGAACGTGATCTACAGGTCTGGGTTGGGAAATCTCTGGAGATTTTGGGGGCAGAGCCTGAGGAGGGCGGGGTTTGAGCAGGGGAAGGACCTCAGCCGGATATAATGCCATAGAGTCCACCGTCCAGAGCAGCCATTTTCTCCAGGGGAACTGGTGAGCAGGAGGAGAAAGCACTGAGCACAGCAAAGAAATCACAGCAGAATTGGGGATCCTCCTATCCTATGATATTTGGGAACCGCTGGCTGGCTGCTTTTGGAAACAGGATGCTGGACTAGGCAGTCTAATCCTCCAGGGCTTTTAGATGGACAGACTAGTCCAGTGCAGTGTTCCTTCTAAGCTGAGTTAGTGTGAGCTAGCTCACAGGTTTTTAGCCTCCGGCTCACACATTTTTGTCTCCGCTCAGAAAGGATGGCTCCAGAGCAAACTCATTTATGCAGTAGCCAAATTGCTCGCTCACGGCTTTAATGCCAGTAGCTCACAGAGTAGAATTTTTGCTCACAAGACTCCACAGCTTAGAGGGAACATTGGTCCAGTGGTGGCGAACCTATGGCACGGGTGCCAGAGGTAGCACTCAGAGCCCTCTCGGTGGGCACGCGTGCCATCGCCCCAGCCAGGCCCAGACCATCATTAAAGTATTCTCTGCCAAATAATTTTAAGTAAATGAAAGCATTTGGGATTGCTTTCCTTACTTTGTTTGGATCATCTTAAATTAATGTATGGGTTGTTAACCTCAGTATTCAGGTTAAATTGCCGTGTTGGCACTTTGCGATAAATAAGTGGGTTTTGGGTCGCAGTTTGGGCACTCGGTCTCTAAAAGGTTCGCCATCACTGGACTAGTCTGTCATTAACCAGACTGGATCCTCCATGTCCAAAGGCAGTTTACCTCTGAATCCCCACTTCTGGAAATTAGCAACAGGGTTTTGAGATTCAGCCACTGGTGGAAAAGAATGTGGAAGCAGATGATCGATCAGCCAATGAGGTGAGTCATCTCTGACCCTGCGCGCTCAAAGCACACCAGTTTGCAAGCCTGTGGATCCTTTGCATGTGCAAGGAAGACAGCATAATGTAGTGGCTAGAGTGTCAGAGTAGGATCTGGGAGGCCTGGGTTCGAATCCCCACTCAGCCTGCTGGGTGACCTTCGGCTAGGGTTGACAACCCCCTGATGGGGGAGGGGTTTCCCCTGATTTCGGGCCCCCAAAAGAGACCCACCGCACCCAACATACCCAGCACATCATCATGCTGGGCACGTTGCATGGGGGACACTCTAGCATTTGGCTAAAAACTCTATGGTGACCATAGAGTTGTTAGCCAAATGCTAGAGTGTCCCCTGTACAACATGCCCAGTGTGATTACGACACTTCCAGGACCAAGAAGACCCCGGGACCAAGCCAGGAGCCCCTTGCTGGCAGACAAGTAAGACCTGGCAACCCTACATTCGGCCAGTCCCTTTCTCTCTCAGCATAACACAGAGGAGAGGAGAACGACTACGCTGCTTTGGTTCCCCATTGGAGAGAAAGGTGTGGTGTAAATGAAGCAAGTAAAACAGACGAGTCTGAGCAGCCTCCTTTGCACCCATCTCCGTTTCTCACCTTCTCCTGGTACTGGCGGCGCGAGGAATCCAGAGACTGGATGAGCGCAGTGGCGTGGCCGATGAACATGGCGTAACAGGTGGCGCCCACAATCATGCTCAGCATCGTCAGCCAAACGTCCGTCATGCCCTCGGGCGCCTGCTGCCCGTAGCCGATGCACAACATGTGGCTCATGGCCTTGAAGAGAGCGTGGGAGTACTGTTTCCCCCAAGAGTCATTCTGTAGGGCAGAGAGAGAAAGGAACTGCACCACTGATCAGCAACGGATATGTGTGCGTGGGGTGAGAAGCCGGCCTGCAAACGGCTGATCACCTAGGGGGAGCGTAGACCACCTCCAGGTGACCAGGTAGAAAGTTTGTGAAAATTCATAAACTTTGGTGGTTGTTTTTTTTTCTTCCTTTCTCTTTTAAATTATTTTTTCTCAGGCCATCCGCATGCCAGGAATGACCAATGTAGCAAGTGGGCTAATCATTTCTGTGGGCGATTCAGTCTTGTAGATTCATTTTCAAAATGGCTGGCGGCTTACAGAACATTGAGCTGACTCATCGTCTTCCTCTCAGCTGCTTACCTAATTGATTAAATCATCTGCGTTATTGTTAATAGGTATCTCATAAGACACTGGATACACTCAGACATTGGGCCAAGCCATGCTAATTATAGATTTGATTCGAGCTTCCAGACCAGGGGTCCCTGACTTTTTTGAGCCTGCGGGCATATTTGGACTTCTGACCCAGTGTGGTGGGTGCAGCAACCAAAAATGGCTGCCAAAAATGGCTGCAAGAGGAGGCGGAGCCAGTAACAAATTGACTGCCACAGCTTAGCTCCAGTAACACAGTGTAGACCAGGCCTGTAGCCACTGTTCCCTCTAAGCTGAGTTAGTGTGAGCCAGCTCACAGTTTTTTAGCCTCCAGCTCACACATTTTTGTTTTAGCTCAGGAAGGAGGGCTACAGAACAAACCAATTTAATGCAGTAGCCAAATGGCTCGCTCACAACTTTAATGCCAGTAGCTCACAAAGTAGAATTTTTGCTCACATGACTCCACAGCTTAGAGGGAACATTGCCTGTAGCTATCGTGGGGTTTTGGGGGGCTCCACTCCCTTTCTTAAAGGCACCGCCCCACAAAAATTTCTCCTGTAAATGCTTCCCCCCAATCATTTAAAAACGTTTTTAAAAAGGTGTGCGCCCCCTTAAGCGGAGTGGGGTGCTGTAGTTGACTAATTCCCGCACTGAGCAAGTGGGGTTGGAGTAGGTGACCTCTAGGACCCCTCCTAACTCTGTGTCAAGAAACCGGTCTTTCTGCCTAAGTGTTACCTTCCTTGACTGTAGAAGTCATCACACCCCCACCTGCTGGCTTGTTATCAGAATTGTTGCTTAGGCTGGCAGGAGTGATTAACTTGCAGCAGCTGAGAACTGTCATCTAAAGCTTGCAATTTAGAGATCTATCCTGGCAACAGCTTTCTGTTGGCTAAATGGCTTTTCTTTCCGCACTGAGAACTTCAGCCCCAGCAGGAAAAAAATTGCCCCAGAAGCCACAGGATCCTGGCTACGCGCCTGGTGCAGATCCTTGTGCTGCGGTGGCAGCTGCTGCCAGACCAATGTTTTCAAAAATCTGCTCAGCCAATCGAAACCTCCAGTGGGCTGTCAAAAGCCTTGCTGGGCAAAAGTCCCACCTGGCCCCTCCCACTTTCTAAAAACATTTGGTGGGTGCCAGGAAAGGTTTCAGTGGGTGCCACTGTGCCCACAGGGTACCACGTTGGGGACCTCTGGAGTGGACAACACTAAACCTGATGGACCAATGGTCTGGTCTGATTGAGTATATGGTAGCTTCATGCGTTCAAGTTGCATCCCCCTGTTCTTCTGTTCTCCATGCACCCTGTTCTCCATGCACAGCATATCCTCTAGAACTGAGCAATAGCCCACTAAATGAACAACAGTGAGATACTCTAGGCAACTGAGGAGACCAGGATTCAAACTCCCCCTTCCACCATGAAACTCACTATGTCAATGCTCTCAACCAGGGCTTTTAGAAAAAGCCCAGCAGGAACTCATTAGCATAATAGGTCACATCCAACAGCAGGAACTCATTAGCATATTAGGCTACTCCCCTGACAACACAGCTCATGAACATATTAGGCCGCACCCCCATGTTACCAGAAGTTAGGTCATCCAGTCACACCCACCTTTTGCCTCTTATTCTGTTCACCTTGTTTGTTGTCAAAACAACAGGGCTTTTTTGGTAGCAAGAATCCCTTTGTATGTTAGGCCACACACCCCTAATGTAGCCAATCCTAATGGGTTTCTGCTGTTGGGTGTGGCCTATTATGCTAATGAGTTCCTGCTGGGCGTGGCCAACTCAGGAGCCAGCCGGAACTCCATTTCTGGGCGTTCCTGCCCCAAAATAGCCCTGCTCTCAACCTTTTAGGGTTGCCAGCCTCCAGGTCCCAGTGGGGGCTCCCCTGCTTTGGGGGGCTGCGATCCACTGCCGGCAACCTGGCTGATGGGGGAACACCACCACTAAATAGGGATGTCATTGGGAGGTGCAGGCGCGGCGGAGCCGGAAATGGACGTTGGCCAGGCTGTGGCTGACACGGGCCGCGCGCCAGGAGCGCCGAGCTGGAGGACCTGCTCCTGAACACCAGAGACGGGACGCCGACCCGAAGACCACCTGGAGGAAGAAGCCGGAGCCGGAGAACAACAAAGCCCTGCCACCTGGGTGCCGGTAGGCAGCCCCACCCCTGGTACTATGTGGCCTTAGATAGGAAATTGTATTTGGAACTTGCCTGTAAACTGGTCAGAGACCCTTCGGGGTCAGAGCGGTATAGAAGTCGAATGTATAAATAAATAAATAAATAAATAAACATCCCCAATATGATGGCGTCACCCAGAAGTGACATCATCACGTCGGCGACGTTGCACCCGATGCTCTGGTTTTGGGGCGAACTCTATGGTTCTGAAGCAGAAAACCGTAGAGTTTTTGCCCCAAAACCAGAGTGTCATGTGCCAAGAGCACTAATGGGATGATGTCACTTCTAGGTGACATCACTGCACTGAGACGTCACCCAATAACATCCCACCCATCCCCAGAACATCCCTCCGATCCCCCCCGCCACGACGGCAAGGGGACCTGGCAACCCGACAACTTTTTCAGAAGCAGGACTCCTCTTTAACCCCCTCACTGAGCTGCAAGGACACAGCAGGACGTCACACGGCAGCATAGTCATGTGATGGGAAGAGGAGGAGCCAGAGTGTCTGAAATGGCCTGTCCTGGAAATAGGGTTGCCAAGTCCATCTTCCACCCCCAGCGGGGGACTTTGGGGGCGTTCCTGGAAGGGGTGGGGCATCCCCGACGTGATGACATCACGTTGGGGACGTCTGCCGCTCCCCCCCCCCCCGCCCCGGGCCGGGCCCCCCCAAATGGAAGTTCGCCTTAAAGTAGCCGGCAGCTGGCGTTTCCCCTTTAAGAGAAGCTGCGTTTCCCTTTTAAGAACAAAGCTGGCTTTTCCCTGCAAGCTTGCGGAGTTGGAGTTCACGCTTGGGATGAAACACGGGTTGCACACCCTTAAAGGGAGAGAGATGGGTGGCTGTGGGTGTTGGGGGTGGGGCTTCCCCTGGCGGGTAGAACCCCCCCAAAACGGGGGACCCCTGGCAAACCGGGGGGGTTGGCAACCCTACCTGGAAAGCAATCCCCTCTAATGCTTAGTGACCTCGCCTCGTAGCCTAGCAGCTCCAGCCAGCATGCATGCAAAGAACATGCAGCAGTCAGCATGCGTGCAAAGGAAACATGCAGCCCTGCTCTCTGTATATGCTCACTGATTGCAGGTCCATTCCAACACTGGTGAAAAAAAAACATGCTATCAGAGATTCACAAGTCATAGCTGAACGGGCAGAAGTTGAACTACCTGCCTACAGGTCCAGACTCATGGCTTGAAGACCTCTGGCGCTAGGTGATCTTGAGTCAGTCCCTCTATCTCTGCCTGACCTACCTCACTGGGTTGTTGTGAGGATAACACGGAGAAGGGGGAGACCCACGTATGCTGCCTCGAGTGCCTTCAGAATGAAAAATATTTAAAGCTATTAGCAAGCAATTCGCAGCAATTTGGAAGTCGTGTTGGGCAGGGGCAAAATATCTCCTGAAGAGGGACCTCTGTCCGAAGCGTTTTGCCGAAGAGGACTTGAGTTAGAACTGACAAATGGCTGACAGACCATCGTTGTCTTTGCACCCGAGAAAGTTAGCAGGGGCATGAAAAAATTCTCAGTTTGCAACGTCTTCTTTTGGCTCATGGGGGACCCACTAAGAGTCCCAAGAACAAATTGGTGGCAGGATGCGCTGACAAGTTGGAGCTGACTCATTGAGACCCTGTCGGGTTTTCAAGGGAAGAGGCATTCAGAGGTAGTTTGCCATTGCCTGCCTCTGCCCAGCAACCCAGGACTTCCTTGGTGGTCTCCCATCCAAGTACCCTGTCGGGTTTTCAAGGCAAGAGGCATTCAGAGGTAGTTTGCCATTGCCTGCCTCTGCCCAGCAACCCTAGAGAGCCAGTTTGGTGTAGTGGTTGAGTGTGTGGACTCTAATCTGGGAGAACCAGGTTTGATTCCTCACTCCTCCACTTGCACCTGCTGGATGACCTTGGGTCAGTCACAAGTTCTCTCAGAGCTGTTCTTGAAAAAGAGCAGTTTCTGTCAGAGCTCTCTCAGCCCCACCTACCTCACAGGGTGTCTGTTGTGGGGAGGGGAAGGGAAAGGAGTTTGTAAGTCGCTCTGAGATACCTTTGGGTAGTGAAGGGCAGGGTATAAATCCAATCTCTTCTCTTCTTCTTCTTTTACCTCACAGGATGTCTGTTGTGAGGAGGGGAAGGGAAAGGAGTTTGTAAGCCACTCTGAGACACCTTTGGGTAGTGAAGGGCAGGGTATAAATCCAATCTCTTCTCTTCTTCTTCTTTTACCTCACAGGGTGTCTGTTGTGGGGAGGGGAAGGGAAAGGAGTTTGTAAGCCACTCTGAGACTCTGAGTGAAGGGCGGGGTATAAATCCAATCTCTTCCTCTTCTACTTCTTGGGGGTCTCCCATCCAGATAGTAACCGGGGCTGACCCTGCTTAGGTTCCTAAATTGGATGAGATCGGGTTGGCCTGGGCCATCCAGGTCAGCGCAAGGACAAAGTACAAAGAGCAATTTGTGCAAAGTACAAACTGTTTGCCAGTTCTGCCAGCCAAGGGCACTTGATTGTTACAGCGTCTGCCACTTGCTCTGTATCAGCGTCCGCAAGAACGTGGAGGAGCAGCAATTTGCTCATGCTTCCCTCTTAGATGACCGCAAAGAGAGGCAGCCAGCATATCAGTCACAGCTAATGAGGCTGGACCCTGCGGATATTTCCACTAACAAGAAGAAGGAGGCAGAGGAGGAGGAGGAGGAGATTGGATTTATACCCCGCCCTTCACTACCCAAAGGAGTCTCAGAGCGGCTTACAATCTCCTTTCCCTTGCTCTCCCCACAACAGACACCCTGTGAGGTAGGTGGGGCTGAGAGAGCTCTGACAGAAACTGCTCTTGAGAGAACAGCTCTGACAGAACTACGGCTTGCCCAAGGTCATCCAGCAGGTGCAAGTGGAGGAGTGGGGAATCAAACCCGGTTCTCCCAGATTAGAATCCACGCACTGACAAACAATGCTGCTTTCACCTGAAGATAGATTCAGGTGGGGTAGCCTTGTTGGTCTGAAGCAACAGAACAGAGTTTGAGTCCAGCGGCACCTTTAAGACCAACAAAGTTTAATTCAGGGTATAAGCTTTTGTGTGCATGCAGAGTTCTTCATGTATCTGAAGAAGTGTGCGTGCACACAAAAGCTAAACCCAGAATTAAGTTTTGTCGGTCATAAAGGTGCCACTGGACAGAAGCTTTCTCCTGGAGCAAGGAGCATTCATAGAATCATAGAGTTGGAAGGGACCTCCAGGGTCATCTAGTCCAACCCCCTGCACAATGCAGGACATTCACAACTACCTCCCCCTCCACACCCACAGTGACCCCTGTTCCATGTGCAAAAGATGGCAAAAAACCCTCCAGGGTCCCCGGCCAAACTGGCCTGGAGGAAAATTCCTTCCTGACCCCGAAGTGGCGATCAGCATTTCCCCAGGGGTGTAAGAAAGGGCCACGAGAGCTGAGCGCTGAGGCGACCCTTCCTGCCCTCCCTCTCATGATCTGCCCAAGTTCACAGAATCAGCACTGCTGTCAGATGGCCATCGAACCTCTGCTTGAAAACCTCCAAAGAAGAAGAGCCCACCTGACGCAGAGGAAAATCCTACTGTTAGTGGAACAGATCTGGGAGACACAATCTATTACCTAGCACAATGGAAGGCTGGAGCTGGATTTGTTTCTTGCAACATGATCAGGTAGGATACCATCTCTGTATTGAGGTGGCCGACAGGCAAGCCTCTTTCGCTAATCTGGGCAGCATGGAGACAACCATCCCACACGGCATCCTTACAAGGACTGTCTCCTCCCATACATTCCTGCCTAGGGACTACGATTTTTTTTCAAATTTATTTACGAATTGCTCATGCTTCCCTCTTAGATGACCGCAAAGAGAGGCAGCCAGCATATCACAGCTAATGAGGCTGGACCCTGTGGATCTTTCCACTAACAAGAAGAAGGAGGCGGAGGAGGAGGAGGAGGAGGAGATTGGATTTATACCCCGCCCTCACTACCCGAAGGAGTCTCAGAGCGGCTTACAAACTCCTCCCTGTCCCCACAACAGACACCCTGTGAGGTAGGTGGGGCTGAGAGAGCTCTGACAGAAACTGCTCTTGAGAGAACAGCTCTGACAAAACTACGGCTTGCCCAAGGTCATCCAGCAGGTGCAAGTGGAGGAGTGGGGAATCAAACTCGGTTCTCCCAGATTAGAATCCTTTCTCACAGGGCTCAAAGCAGATTACACACTGCAAGTTAGTTCAGTTGACAAAATGGGACATTCCGCAACCAACGTTATTAGGATTCTAGAAGTTCTAGATTCTAGAAGTTCTAGAGTAGGATTCTAGAAGTTCTAGATGTTATTAGGATTCTAGAAGTTATTAGGATTCTAGATGACTCTTGAGAGTCCCTTGGACTGCAAGAAGATCAAATCAGTCAATCCTAAAAGAAATCAACCCTGACTGTTCCCTGGAAGGCCAGATGATGAAACTGAAGCTCAAATACTTTGGCCACCCAATGAGAAGGGAGCACTCCCTAGAGAAGACCCTGATGCTGGGAAAGACTGAAGGTCAAAGAAGATGGGGACGGCAAAGGATGAGATGGTGAGACAGTGTCATAGATGCAACGAACATGAAATTGAGCAAACTTCAGAGGATGGTGGAAGACCAGAAGGCCTGGTGTGATCTGGTCCATGGGGTCGTGAAGAGTTGGACTTGGCTGTGCGACTGAACAACAACAACAAAAGAAGTCTGGAACCCCCAGAAAGAACTGAAGCAGAGCCTAAGTATTCACATGACCCATGAAGCGGTGCAGAAATTACATTAGAGGATCCTGCTTACAATAAGATATACCAGGTATGTCCAACAGGTAGATTGTGATCTACCAGTAGATCGCAGAGGGGGTCAGAGGTAGATCACCAGCCCCACTTGGTCTCCTGGTTTGCTGGACAGGTGTTTGGGTTTTTTTGATGATTGTTTGGTGGTTCTTTCTGGATCTTCGTCTCTGTTTCGTTTTTGCTTATTTTGCTTACCAGTAAATGACAGAAGGTGCATTATAAATGGGGGGAGGGGGAGCGGTGGAACCCAACTTTAGTGGGTTAAAATCTAATTTGAAAGTTTATTTTCATCGTGGTTGATCACCGGCACTTTTGGCTGGAAAAAATAGATCACTACCTGTTTGAAGTTGGACATGCCTGAGATATACGCAGCAGTAGAGACCACAATCTCAATTGTTTATCCAAGTAAGCTCGTCCACCATTTTGTACAGTGCAATGCTATTCGGTAAAGGTAAAGGTTTCCCTTGCTCGAAAGCCAGTCGCATCCGACTCTAGGGGGGTGATGCTCATCTCCGTTTCCAAGCCGAACAGCCAGCGCTGTCCGAAGACATCTCCGTGGTCATGTGGCCGGCGTGACTAGATGCCGAGGCGCATGGAACGCTGTTACCTTCCCACCAAAGTGGTACCTATGTATCTACTTGCAATGTCTTGCTTTCGAACGGCTAGGCTGGCAGGAGCTGGGGCACGCAGCACTCGGGTCTTGAACTGCTGAACTACCGACCTTCCAGTCTGCAGAAAAGCCCTCTTGAATAGTTCAGTTTTGCACAGCTGTAGAAAGCCAGGAGAGTGGGACCTTCCTGACCTCTGCGGGCAGTCCATTCCCCACAGCCAGAGCCACAATGGAGAAGAGGCCCCCTTAATGATCCCATTGACCAAAGAAGTTTGGTGGGTACGTGAGAAATGGCCTATTCGGTGGCAGCCCCATGATTATGGAACAACCTCTCCAGGGCGTACGTGCGCCTGACTCCCTCACTTTCAACCTCTAGGGGGCAGCGGAAGACGGCTTTTATTCATGATGGCATATTTGGTGGGTTGTGGGGTTTTTTTTGCATTTTTGTGTTTGTGTGTGTGTGTGCCCATGCCTGGAGGTCGTGGTGACCTCTGGCGACTCCTACTGGGGCACGGAGGACATTCAGAGAAGCAGCTTGATAGCCTGCCTTCTAGCCTCCCGGCCCTGGTATTCTCTGGAGGGCTCCCATCCAAATACTTGCCAGGGTTGGCCCTGCTTAGCTTCTGAGATCTGACGATATCAGGCTTGCCTGGGCTATTAAGGTCAGGGCTATTCATTTTTAAAAAACATTTATTGAAATTTTTGAATTATATGCAACCCCCCCCCCCAAATAATATATATATATAAAACAAAATACTTATCTCACACAATATAACATTCAACTGAAATATATAAACAGTGCGGTTAGCATTCCATAGCATACAAACTTGTTTCAGGCCTTAATTTCCAGTATTCACTTATCAGGGCTATTCATGATGGCAGGGCTTTTTTTGTAGAAAAAGCCCAGCAGAAACTGATTAGCATAATAGGCCACACCCAACAGCAGAAACTCATTAGCATATTAGGCCACACCTGACATCTCAACTCATTAGCATATTAGGCCACACGCTATGCCTTCCCTTGGCTTGCCCAGATGCCCTGTGGCTGCGGGAAGCCTGGATAAGCCACCCCTTGAAGGGAAGGGAAGACAGTTTAAACTGCCTTCCCTTGGTTTGCCTGGGTGCAAGGTCCTGGGCAAGCCGGCCCTTGGACAGGCCAGGGAAGGCATAGGGAAGCATTTAAATGCCTCCCTGATGCTTCCAGAGGCCCCCTGCCTCGGGGGTCGCTCTCCAGGTCTTCCCTCTGTAGCCATGCACGCAGAGGTTTTGGCTGTAGTGGGCGTGGCCAACTCTGAAGCCATCCAGAACTCCGTTCCTGTGTGTTCCTGCCCCAAAATAGCCCTGCATGATGGCATCTGATGCCTTTTAGTTCTTCTGCCTTCGGGCAGTTTTTTAAAATCTGTGGCTTTTATGTATTTTATTGCGTTCGCACCGTAAGCGATTCCCCAAAGGCCGAAAGGTGGCTAATAAAGTATTTTAAATCAAATAAATACCCACTCCAAGAGGCTGGATCCACAACAGAGGGATGTGATATTGGATACGCACGCTACGAGGGGAAAGAAACAGACAAGCTCTACGCCCCGCCTCCAGGATGATGATGCCCCGCCTCTGTCCACCTAAACCGGGCCATGGCCGTCAATACCAGGGATGGGGAACTCACCACCATGTGGTTGATGGAGACCCAGCAGTCCTCCGGGAAGTCTTGCAGCATCGGGACCAGGAACTGCAGACACCCGTCCCAGTGGCACAGCAGCAGCATCATCCCAATGAGGTTGAAGATCCGCACCACGGCGCTGGCCAGGTCATAGGTCATGTGGAAAATCTGGACAGCGGGCATGAAAACGGGCAGGTGAGGAGGTGGCAGGGACCTGGAAGCGTCACCCTTCCTACCCTGTCATGTTTTTTTTAAACCAGTCTCAAACCTGCTTCATCCCCCCCCCAGCTCCCAAACAGGGCTGAGTGGATTCTAACCCTCTGGGGGGCATGAGGATCTCTCTTGACCCACAATTCCTGGCTTCCGCATAAAACTACAGCCCCTCCCCCCCAACTCAAGCACTGATTCTTGCAAAGAAGCTAAGATTCATGTCCAGTAGCACCTTCATGCTCAGAGGCAGTCAGCCTCTGAATCTCAGTGCTAGGAGGCAACATCAGAGGAAAGCCTCGGCCTCTCTGCCATGTTGTTGGTCCTCCAGAGGAACTGGTTGAGGCCACTGCGTGAGGCAGGATGCTGGACTAGAGGGACCCTCACTGGTTTGATCCAACAGGGCTCTTCTGATATTCTTATGAGGGGAAGGCCTCGACCTCTGTGCCCTGTTGTTGGCCCTCCACAGGAACTGGTTGAGGCCACTGTCTGAGACAGGATGCTGGACTAGATGGACCCTCACTGGTCTGATCCAGCAGGGCTCTTCTTATGTTCTTATGAGGGGAAGGCCTCGGCCTCTCTGCCCTGTTGTTGGCCCTCCAGAGAAACTGGTTGAGGCCACTGTGTGAGACAGGATGCTGGACTAGAGGGACCCTCACTGGTTTGATCCAACAGGGCTCTTCTGATATTCTAATGAGGGGAAGGCCTCGACCTCTGTGCCCTGTTGTTGGCCCTCCAGAGGAACTGGTTGAGGCCACTGTGTGAGACAGGATGCTGGACTAGATGAACCCCCTCACTGGTCTGATCCAGCAGGGCTCTTCTAATGTTCTTGTGAGGGGAAGGCCTCGGCCTCTCTGCCCTGTCATTGGCCCTCCAGAGGAACTGGTTGAGGCCACTGTGTGAGACAGGATGCTGGACTAGATGGACCCTCACTGGTTTGATCCAACAGGGCTCTTCTGACGTTCTTATCAGGGGAAGGCCTCGACCTCTGTGCCCTGTTGTTAGCCCTCCACAGGAACTGGTTGAGGCCACTATCTGAGACAGGATGCTGGACTAGATGGACCCTCACTGGTCTGACCCAGCAGGGCTCTTCTTATGTACTTATGAGGGGAAGGCCTCAGCCTCTCTGCCCTGTTGCTGGCCCTCCAGAGGAACTGGTTGAGGCCACTGTGTGAGACAGGATGCCGGACTAGATGGACCCTCACTGGTCTGATCCAGCAGGGCTCTTCTGACGTTCTTATCAGGGGAAGGCCTCGGCCTCTAGGCCCTGTTGTTGGCCCTCCAGAGGAACTGGTTGAGGCCACTGTCTGAGACAGGATGCTAAACTAGATGGACTACTGATCTGTTCCAGCAGGGCTCTTCTGATATTCTTATGAGGTGAAGGCCTCGGCCTCTCTGCCCTGTTGTTGTCCCTCCAGAGGAACCGGTTGAGGCCACTGTGTGAGACAGGATGCTGGACTAGAGGGACCCTCACTGGTCTTATCCAGCAGGGCTTTTCTAATGTTCTTATGAGGGGAAGGCCTCGGCCTCCCTGTCCTGTTGTTGTCCCTCCAGGGGAACTGGTTGAGGCCACTGTGAGAGACAGGATGCTGGACTGGATGCACTATTGGTCTGTTCCAGCAGGGCTCTTCTCATGTTCTTAAAGGCCAACAACATTTTTGGGCATAAGCTTTCAAGAGTCAAGGTTCCCTCCATCAGCTTTGACTCTCGAGAGCTTATACCTCCAAAATCTCGTCAGTCTCTAAGGTGTCACTGGACTCGGATCTAGCTGCCCTCCCACCGACCAACATAGCTACCCTCTGAACCTTGCAAAGAGACCGTAACTGTTGAATCAATGCCAAATGGGGGATAGATTTGTAGCGCAGATGACCTGCCGTTGTGGATTTCCACACTCCTTGCATCAGGGAAAATGCTTTTGCATTTGAAGAAAATGTGGGAGAGTCTAGCACAGGCCACATGATGGCTAAATGGTGCCTCCATGTTCAGAGGCAGTCTACCTCTGAATACCAGAGGCAGAAGGGTAAGGCCCTCACTGCCATGCTCTACTTTGCTAAGAGCATCTGTTGGGAAACAGAATACAAAGAACCACAGAGACCCAACTGAACCCAGTAAGATTTTCTGGTTTTTTTGGGGGGGGGGGTTGGCATATAGAATTCCGGGCAGCGGATGCTTAGCTGCTTTTCGAAACCCTCCTTCCTTAGAAGAGAGAAGAAGAAGAGAAGAGGTTGTATTTATACCCCGACCTTCACTACCCAAATGTGTCTCAGAGTGGCTTACAATCTCCTTTCCCTCCCCCTCCCCGCAACAGGCACCCTGTGAGGTAGGTGGGGCTGAGAGAGCTCTGACAGAAACTGCTCTTTTTCAAGAACAGCTCTGACAGAACTGTGGCTTGCCCAAGGTCATCCAGCAGGTGCAAGTTAAGGAGTGGGGAATCAAACCCAGTTCTCCCAGATTAGAGTCCGCGCTTCTAACCACTACACCAAACTGGACCAGAAGTCAACCAGTGCCTGTTGAGAGCAGAATGGAACCTCCAGGTTTAGAGGCAGTATATCTACAGGTATTGGATCCTGGGAGGTAGGGTTGCCAGCTCCAGGTTGGGAAATACCTGAAGATTTGGGGGGGGGGCGTTGGAGCCCAGGGAGGGCCGTGCTTGGGGAGGGGAGGGACTTCAGTGGTGTAGAATGCTGTAGCGTTTAAACTGCCCAAGTGGCCATTTTCTCCAGGTGAACACTGTTGCCTGGATATCAGTTGTAATCCCAGGAGACCTCCAGCCACCACCTGGAGGTTGGCAAGCCTACTGGCAGGAGGGTAGACAAACAAGGGGAGAGCCCCCTTGCCTTCGTTCCCTGCTTGTGGGTTGCTCGGAGGTGTCTGTAGGGTGGCCAGCCACTGGGTCGACATAAGTCGGCTGCAAGTTGACAACTCTTTCCGCCACCAAATAACTGCCCTTTAAGACTCTATGAAAAGAGCAGGGTATCTTTTTCTCCAGGCCAGCTGGCAACCTAACCCCTCTATGTTGTCATTGTTGTTGTTGTTGGGGTCTGTCCTACGTCCTTCCTGAAATGAGATGGCTACTAAGCAGAGAGTCTTCTCCATTGTGGCACCTTCTCTATGGAGCCCCCTGTCCGTTATCGGTTTGTCTGGCGCCTTCTCTTAATTCCAAGCACCAGAAGAAGAAGAAAATTCTACTTTCCTAGGCCTTCAGCCTAGGTCTCTTGAGACTCTTGAGAGCCTCTTGGACTGCAAGAAGATCAAATCAGTCAATCCTAAAAGAAATCAACCCTGACTGTTCCCTGGAAGGCCAGATAATGGAACTGAAGCTCCAATACTTTGGCCACCCAATGAGAAGGGAGCACTCACTGGAGAAGACCCTGATGCTGGGAAAGATCGAAGGTCGAAGAAGACGGGGACGGCAAAGGATGAGAGGGTTAGACAGTGTCATAGATGCAACGGACATGAAACTGAGCAAACTTCAGAGGACGGCGGAAGACAGGAGGGCCTGGCGGGAGCTGGTCCATGGGGTCGCGAAGAGTCGGACTCGACTGCGACTGAACAACAACAAGGCCTTCAGCACAAGTCAAGGTTATCTTTCCCACCCACCGCCTCCGTTTGTTTTCCAGGTCCCACTGTTTTCACTACAGACTTGACTGCTTTCTCATTTTCCTCACTGTTTTCTTCTGAGGGGGCGTGGGGGTGGGTGTTTCTGTTCTGCATCTCTTTTGCTCCCTCTAGTGGTCAGTTCAATATTACATCAGGTTATGTCTGGCATATCTCCCTGCAGATTTGAACTGCAGGCAGATATGCCAGACATAAACCAATGTAATATCTAATCAACCATTAAAAGGAGCAAAACACATGTGGAACAGAATCCACCCCCCCCCCAAGAACTTACAAGCAAGGAAAATAAGAATGCATAAAAGTCCTGTCTTCTGCAGATTACTGGTGTATTGTAGTATTTCACTGGAGACAATCATTTTAGATTGTTCGAAATTCTAGCCATACGTTTGCTTGGAATGCCGGGCAGATGTGTTCTGAATAATTAGAAAATGACACAGGCCTAACGTAGACTTACCTCTTCCCACTGGTGGATGTATCGGATGAGGCGGGAGAGGCGAAGGAGGCGCAACAGGCTGAGGATCTTGGTGAACCGGACAATGCGCAGGGCCCGTGCCGTTTTGTAGACGTCAGAATCCACCTGGGTCTCCAGGTCTACGATGAGGAAGATGTAGTCGACGGGGATGGAGGAGACAAAGTCCACCAGAAACCAGCTCTTGAGATACTTCATCTTGATGGTGTGCGGGTCGAGGATGATCTCCGTGTTGTCTTCCACCACGATGCCCGTGCGGAAGTTCAGCACCAGGTCAGCCAGGAAGAAGGTGTCCGAGAGGACGTTGAAGACAATCCACGGCGGCGTGTTCTCGTCTTTGAAGAACGTGATCCCCACCGGCAGGATGATCAGATTCCCCACCATCAGCAACAGCATGATCAAGTCCCAGTAGAACCTGCGAAACAGAAGTCAGACGGCGGTCGTCTCTCTGCGGAAGGAACCACGGCGAAATAAAGGATGCCTCCACCCACTTCCCCGAGGGGTCAGAAGTCAGGGAGAAATGGTACAAGCCAAGCCTGGCCTGAGGATTTTGAGAGTCCCTGGGCAAGGGACCATCACTGCTCTCCCCCCAAGAGTACTAAGAGTGGAAGAGCAGGATTTTGAAAGGAAGGACTGGTAAAATATCTAATTGGTGTCATTTATTTACTTGTGTTATCTCCACACCTGGGATGTCCTCGGTTTGCTTCCCCTCAACTAGAAAAAACACCTTTAGACATTTGTCCGCTATTTTGACATATTTATTGCTTTACAACATAACCGTAGCTTGTTACTTAGTTCTGACTTTGCATGTCTCAGACATCATCATGTTACATGTTAATTTGCTGTTAAGCCCCTGTCTATAGGTTTGAACCTTACCTACCATTCCAATGCATTTGAATCATAGAATCATAGAATCATAAAGTTGGAAGGGACCTTGCAGGTCATCTAGTCCAACCCCCTGCACTCTGCAGGAGCATAGCTGAAAGATAGCCCTACATACCTGCAACATACCCGAAAGATGGTCGTCCAGCCTCCGCTTGGAAACGTCCAGTGAAGGAGCATAAGAACATAAGAGATGCCAATGTTGGATCAAGCCAAAGGCCCATCTAGTCCAACACTCTGTCACACAGTGGCCAGAAATACCACGTGCCATCAGGAGGTCCACCAGTGGGGCCAGGACATTAGAAGCCCTCCCACTGTTGGCCCCCCCAAGCACCAAGAAGACAGAGCATCACTTGCCCCAGAGCCCCTATCTATACCTTGTGGCTGATAGCCACTGATGGACCTCTGCTCCATATGCTTATCTAATTCCCTTTTGAAGCCGTCCTGTGGCAGTGAATTCCATGTGTGAATCACTCTTTGGGTGAAGAAGGACTTCCTTTTATCCGTTCTAACCCCTCCCGAGGCAAACTGTTCCTCTGCTCAACCACTCCTACAGTTAGGAAGTTTCTTCTGATATTGAGCCGGTGACGACTCCCTTGAAAAAGTGTGCCGTGCCCACGAAAGCTCATACCTTGAATAAACCTTTGTTGGTCCTAAAGGTGCCACCGGACTCTACATTTGTTCTTGCATTATCTATTGTCTGCCTTTCTCACAGGGAGTCCAGGCAGATTACACACAGTGTTCCAGTAGACTTCACAAAATGGGACATTCAGTAACCAATGCATTAGGAGTTTTGACGTCTGGAACCTAGGGCTGCCAACCTCCAGGTGGAGCCTAGGGAACCTCCTCCTTTCACAACTGGCCTCCAGACTATAGATATCTGTTCCCCTGGAGAAAACGGCTGCTTTGAAAGATGGACTCTAAGGCATTCTACCCCATGCTGGACCAGGCCAGTGGCCCATCCAGTCCAACTCTCTGTGTCACACAGTGGCCCAAACCCAGGTGCCCCCAGGAGGTCCACCAGCTGGGCCAGAAGCCCCTCCCACAGTTGCCCCCCAAGCACCAAGAAGACAGAGCATCACTTGCCCTGGAAGAAGAAGAAGAGGAGGAGGAGATTGGATTTATACCCCGCTCTTCACTCGGAGTCTCAGAGCGGCTTACAAACTCCTTTCCCTTCCCCTCCCCGCAACAGACACCCTGTGAGGTGGGTGGGGCTGAGAGAGCTCTTGATAGAAACTGCCCTTTTTCAAGGACAGCTGTGCCAGAGCTTGTGACTGACCCAAGGTCACATCAGCAGGTGCAAGTGGAGGAGTGGGGACTCAAACCCGGTTCTCCCAGATTAGAGTCCGCGCACTTAACCACTACACCAAACTGGCTCTCAAAGTGTTCCATCCACAGCCCTCCACAGCCTCCAGGTATCTCCCCGACCCAGACCTGGCAACCTTAGTCTTCGTGCCTTGACTGTTCTGGCCGCTTCTGGAGCTGGCCACGCCAAAGCTCAGTTTCCCTCAGATCACACATAAGGGAGGCCTGGAGACCTCCCTTTCTCCCCAGTGAGCAACCAAAGCGACTTGTAATGTTCTCCTCTCTTCCATGCTGTCCTCACAACAACCCTGTGAGGTAGGTTAGGCCCAAGGTCAGCCGGCGAGCTTCCCATGGCAGAGTGGGGATTCGAACCCCAGACCCCAGTCCGACACTTGAACTGCTACACAGAACATTTGTTTATTTGCATATATTCAAGCAGAGCCTTCGGGAAGCAAATTGTAGCTTCGCGGCTCTACAGCCGAACGGATTTAAAATAGCCTCTTATTCCTACGATTTATAAATGAGGATTCCCTTTGTGAGCTGCTCTCCCCGGCTCCAGGTCTGCGTCCCCATTGCTCGCTACGGGCTCCGAGATTTAATACCAGGAGAAGCCATGTGTTTATTGACTAAAGATCATTAAGTGATAAACGGCGGCTTTAATCGTGTTGCAAAGTTTGATCCCCCAAATAAGGTCAAAAACCAGCGCTCCGTACCGCGCCATCTGCCAGAGATCAATAAGCCGGCCTTGGAGTCAAATACGATGCAAATGCACATCAAGGGGTATAGGCAAAGGATTCTGGGGGTCAGGTCAAACATTTTAGCCTCCTCTCCTTCTATGGGGAGGGGCCATGGTTCAGTGGCAGGGAATCTGCACAGCATGCAGAAGTTCCCAGGTTCAGTCCTCAGTATCCCAAGGTGAAAGAACATAAGAACATCAGAAGAGCCCTGCTGGATCAGACCAGTGGTCTATCTAATCCAGCATCCTGTCTCACACAGTGGCCTCAACCAGTTCCCTTGGAGGGCCAACAACAGGGCAGAGAGGCCGAGGCCTTCTCCTCATACGAACATCAGAAGAGCCCCGCTGGATCAGACCAGTGAGGGTCCATCTAGTTCAGCATCCTGTCTCACACAGTGGCCTCAACCAGTTCCTCTGGAGGGCCAACAACAGGGCAGAGAGGCCGAGGCCTTCCCCTCACAAGAACATCAGAAGAGCCATGCTGGATCAGACCAGTGGTCCACCTAGTCCAACATCCTGTCTCGTAAACTGACCAATCATTTCCTCTGGGGGACCCACAAACAGGGCATGAAGGCCGAGGCCTTCCCCTCACAAGAACATCAGAAGAGCCATGCTGGATCAGACCAGTGGTCCACCTAGTCCAACATCCTGTCTCATAAACTGACCAATCATTTCCTCTGGGGGACCCACAAATAGGGCATGAAGGCCGAGGCCTTCCCCTGATAAGAACATATGAAGAGCCCTGCTGGATCAGACCAAAGGCCCATCTAATCCAGCGTCCCATCTCACAAATTGGCCAATCAGTTCCCCTGGAACAACAGGGCATAGAGAAGAGGAAGAGAAAAAGAGACATTTCATCAGAAGAGGTATTCTCCCTTGTCCCACGCAAAACAGGGAATGCCTCTTCAGACATGGCCCCTGCTGTGTGGACATTACATAAGAAGAAGTATTTTCTCTTGTCCCACACAGAACAGAGAATGCCTCTTCAGAGGCGGTGTCTACTAGAGAAGAAGAGGCATTCTTTCTTCTCTCACTAAAAAAGGCATTCTACCTTCACCCTGATAGAACAGGGATGCCTCTTCTGGGGAGATGTGTGGCCATTCTATAAGAAGAGGCCTTCTTCCCTTCTCTCTAGTAGAGGCCCTTACATAGCACCTCATTCCCCTCTCACTCACCATTTCTTCTGCGGCAGTGCCCGCTATGACAGATCCTTGCATTATCTACATGCAGGGCTTTTTTTGTAGAAAAAGACCAGCAGGAACTCTTTAACATAATAGGCCACACCCAACAGCAGAAACTCATTAGCATATTAGGCCATGCCCCCGACAGCACAGCTCGTTAGCCTATTAGGCCGCACCCCCATGTTACCAGAAGTGTGGCCATCCAGCCACACCCACCTTTTGCTTCTTATTCTGATTACCTTGTTGTCCAAACCCAGGGCCTTTTTTGTAGCAGGAATTCCTTTGCATGTTAGGCCACACATCCCTAATTGTAGCCAATCCTAATGGGTTTCTGCTGTTGGGTGTGGCCTATTATGCTAATGAGTTCCTGCTGGGCGTGGCCAACTCGGGAGCCAGCCAGAACTCCGTTCCTGTGCGTTCCTGCCCAAAAATAGCCCTGTCTACATGCATCATACCCGGTTCTCCCAGATTAGACTTTGCGCTCCTAAACACTACTCCAAACTGGCTCTCTCTAAATCCACTTCAGTGGATCTAGAAGCGTGTACCTCTGTCTGTCTGTCTGTCTGTCTGTCTGTCTCTGGTTCAATTTGCATCCCACCTTCCCCACAGGCTCAGGGCGGGTTCCATCATAAAAGTCACCATATAACAAGTCGACAATTAAAATATATCTAAAAATCTACTTAGGATCTCACTGTGAGCGGCCCACCTGAAGCCCCTTCTCTGTTGGGAGTGGATAACATCCCAAGGCACCTAATAATCGAGCTCTCCCCACCCCTTTAATGTACACAAAGAACTCCAAGGACCGCAAGTGGATGTTACGTTTGCAAAGCAGTGGTATGCTCTGAAGTCACCCTTACTGTGTTCGACTGTACCTTGACCTCTCCACAAACCCTATCTTTGGATGATACCTATTGGCTAGCGCCTGTGACGACCCTAACATGTCTCCTCTCGGCTTCAGAGCAACGTTGCAAATGTTTTGAAAGTACTTCCTTCTTTGGGGGAAAAAAGAGTAAAGGGTGAGCAGAGAAATCTACATCTTAGCATACTTTGTAATGTTGAAAAAAATGAATACGCCACCTACATTGCAGGGAGATCAGATTGAGGGCGGAATCAAAATCTGGCTCGTAGAAAGAAAAAGAAGAGAAGAGATTGGATTTATACCCCGCCCTTCACTACCCAAAGGTGTCTCAGAGCAGCTTACAAACTCCTTTCCCTTCCCCTCCCCACAACAGACACCCTGTGAGGTAGGTGGGGCTGAGAGAGAGCTCTTGACAGAAACTGCTCTTTTTCAAGAACAGCTGTGCCAGAGTT